TGAGCTACACCCTCAGAAGTGAGTGGCTATAATTCGCGATCACCCTTTAGAATACTTGATTCATACCGATAGTTTAAGAGCAAAAACATTTGAATTATACACAAAGAGATAGCCAAACCCGTACACATTCATTTAAATAAAGATCTAGGCTTAACTAGGCTTAACTTAACAATATTGCATAGGCCTAACTAGCGATCACCCTGTAGAATGACAAATCGACTCACTCTTCAATTTTGTCTTCGGAAGCTGACTGAGTCATTGCTTAGTGAATCGGCCGATTGTAATTGCTAAAAATATTAATCCCAAACATTTATAAGAATATAAAAGACTAAACAAGACTTGAAAAATTGCTTTAAAAATTGCTTGAAAATGTGCTGACAAAATTTGCTGACAAAATTCTCACGCCTATCCATTCTTTCATTATCACTCGGGTTTCTTCCGCAATGTAAACAAAAAGAATTTCGTAAAACATGTGATCAAAAAGTTTTGCAAGAAAAACAATTAAAGAATAACCGGAGGTTTTCGGAAAAAGAAATTTGAGGATAAGAGTAAAAATCGTTTTTCTTTTGCAAGGTAAAACGTGACGGTGGAAGGCTGTTAAAAATCACAAATCATGAATTTTTTTCAAAAAACCTTCCTAACTGATGATCTATCACTCAAAAGTTGCACTTTTATATGCATTTCAAAGATCTCCGCTAGCCTCAAAAAAGTGTGTTTGGTGACGCAGTTGGTCTTTCTCTCGCAAAGCTCTTTTCTTTGTTTTGGCCGGAGTTCAAGCCAAAAGAAAAGAACGGAAAGAAAGCTGCGTCTAGTGGATTAAGCATTTTGCATTTGCAGAATTTCGATAAACAATTGGTTTATGAAAAAAATGGTCAAGAAAGGTCAAGGTCAAGAAAGCAAGAGTGGTAAGCTCGACTTTCTAAATTTTTTACAATTTACTCAACTTGTTATGAGAAAACCTGATTCATTGGATCTCCATCACTAAATTTCATCAAAAGAAATTCAGAGCCCAGTTTTTTTGGTTTAAGTGTCTTCTTTTAGCATTAAACTTGTACAAACTTAGCTCTAACTTAGCTTACAAAGTTAGCTACAAAATTAGCTACAAAGTTAGCTACAAAATTAGCTTAAACCTAGTACCTAAACCCTCCAACAAACAAGCTTATTGAGCTAACAAGTTATTGATCCAACAAGTTATTGATCTGACTAATTGATCTAACAAGTTAATGATCTGACAAGTTATTGATCTAACAAGTTAATGATCGAACAAGTTAATGATCGAACAAGTTATTGATCTAGAAAGTAATTGATCTAACAAGTTAATGATCGAACAAGTTATTGATCTAGAAAGTAATTGATCTAACAAGTTAATGATCGAACAAGTTATTGATCTAAAAAGTTATTGATCTAAAAAGTTATTGATCTAACAAGTTATTGATCTAACAAGTTATTGATCTAAAAAGTTATTGATCTAACAAGTTATTGATCTAACAAGTTATTGATCTAACAAGTTATTGATCTAAAAAGTTATTGATCTAAAAAGTTATTGATCTAACAAGTTAATGATCTAACAAGTTATTGATCTGACAAGTTATTGATCTAACAAGTTATTGATCTAGAAAGTAATTGATCTAACAAGTTAATGATCGAACAAGATAAAAAGTTATTGATCTAAAAAGTTATTGATCTAACAAGTTATTGATCTAACAAGTTATTGATCTAACAAGTTATTGATCTAAAAAGTTATTGATCTAACAAGTTATTGATCTAACAAGTTATTGATCTAGAAAGTAATTGATCTAACAAGTTAATGATCGAACAAGATAAAAAGTTATTGATCTAAAAAGTTATTGATCTAACAAGTTAATGATCTAACAAGTTATTGATCGAACAAGATAAAAAGCTAGCAGATTTTAAACCGAATTCTCAATTCTATAGACTAATCATCAGCAAACAACATTCAGTACCCTGGAATGATCAATTTTATTTCGATCTACTGTAGAAACTATGACTCTAGAACGATCTACTATTTAACTATGAAAGTAAAGTGTTATTACACCAGGAAAGGATTTTTCTTCTGTAGTTGAAGTGGTCTCTTTGCTTGGGAGGGGAAATTTCATTAGCTGACGTAGTTGGTTCTTGTTTTCTTTGGTCTCTTCAAGAGAATGGCTAGGGAATTTGGCAATTTTAATCAAAAAGCTGAAATTGGGATTATTTATAATAGAAAATTGAGGGGATAAAGCTGGGATTTGAGCATTTTTCGCATTTTCGCAATCGTTTTTGACTCTTATAACTATGAAATCTACAGACTACAAACTACAAAATGAGCAAAATAACTTTTTGTGCTTTGTGAAGGCTTTTTATTATTTTAGGATTATTTCAGAGCTTTTAAAAGCTCTGAAAACTCTACAGTTTAACCTCGCTTTTTGAAGTGTACTTTGTACGTTTGTAAAATGAGTACAGAGTATTTCAATGTTGAAATGTTGATTTAAAGCCGAATTGTTGTGAAATAAAGTAGACTTTAGACTTTAGTGACATTGACACTGACAATTACAACTCAAAGATCCGTTTCAGTTAGGCTTCCTTAGTGCCTACTGACGTAAAGGTATCTTTTTCATTTTTCCATCTTCTCAATTTCCCCCTTTCGCTTGTGAACGGGCAAACAAAAACACTAAAAATAGCGTTTCTTTTCCTCTGTGACGTAGATTCCCCTGAAAAGTCATATCATGACTCAAATTTATGAAAAAGTGAACGGGAAAGGGCAAAGAATTGAAAAATATTTACTTTTTCAATGATTTTAAATCAGAAATTTTGTGAATGAAGGATTTTCTGCTTTGAAGATCAATGAAAAACAAAAAAACGTAACGAGATTGTATTGAAATTGAAATTGAAATTGAAAAGTAATTGTAATTTTCAGTGGCTCTGCCCCAGAAGAAGCACAAGCCATCGACCGACCAGCTAAGATCTCGCTATCATCTCCGCTCGGGTGTGAAATTGAAATTGAAAACTTTGTATCTTGAAGTAAGAATTCGACGAGAAGAAAATGATAGAAATGTTTGTTTTAACGTAAGTATTCTGTACCAGATGGCTTTCAGGTTTTGCGATATGTTTTTAGCTGATACTCTGATACGATACTTTGAGTTGAGCAGCACTTTAAGAAGATCGATCAAGAAGATCACTGCATCGGTTCTTTCGCTTCTGTTTTGTTGCCTGAGTCAAAAGTTGAATCAAACGTTTCTTGGACGGTTTTAGCTTCAAATAATCCTTTATGATTCTCCCCAATGATCTACCAGAAGTCCGCAATTGTCTCCATCATTTTGACATCACTTTGACATCACTTTGACATCATCATTGACTCCGGATTGTGGCCAACTTGATTTCGCACTTGTTTGATCTTGGCAGCGATGAAAACGGATCGCTTTCTACCCAAACGATAACGATCACTTGAAGTTCGCAAAGTCTTGAAACGTTGAATTGTGTGACTCGCAAGCTTTCGATTCACTTTAAGGCTTGTTTGAATTCTTGTGACGATTCTTGTGAAGAGCGATGATTTCTTCCAATGTGAAGAAGGCCGTGTCATTACTAAAAAAACAACTTGAGGTCAAAAAAACTAAAAAAAGTTGATTCCAACAACTGGAAACCATATTAACAATAAAGAAGTAAGGGTAAACAGCAAAGAAATTAAACGCTTTTGCATTACAACTCGTTGTTTAATGGCTCGTTGGACAGTAATTAAGCCGCATTCTATATAATAATTTAAGTCTATTTTGGTAACTCTGCAATTTGCACACTTTAAATAGCCATTAAACTTGATCAAATTTGGAAACTAAACACTCGTGAGCAACGTTTATCAAAAATAAACAATGAATTCGAATTTGTATATTCAATTGGTAAAATCTGGTCAGTAAATTTGATGAGATTTGATGGATCAATGGGGAAAAGCCTCATATTGCTTGTCAGCAGTTTTCTCATTCTTGCTCTCTTTACTATTGATTTTACAACTGCTTCTTGGCTCATTAATGCATTGGATTCTTGGCATTGAAACAAGTTTATTAAATAAACAAGGTTAGAACAAAAAGATGATTTGAGAAGATTGAAAAAAAATAAACACTGTGACTAGAGCTGTGATGCTATTGGGTTGGTGAATTGAAAACTGCGGGCTAGTGTCATATGTGACAGTTTGAGCACTTTCTTCAAAAGAAACCCATTTTTGTGTCAATGGAAAAGTTGTAGAGAATCAAAAATCAAGGTTATATCCAAATTTTCAGAACGATTCAAAAACTGGTTTTGAAAAAATGCCAATTTCAAGAAATGCCAACGAATTTTCACAAAACTTGCATTTTAAGCGAAACTACTAAGTATATCTTTTTGGAAATTTGGCTATAAGCCTAATTTTTGATTCTCTACAACTTTTCTATTGGCACCAAAATGGGTTTCTTTTGAAGAAAGTGCTCAAACTGGGATCCCCAGTCTCCATCTCCAGTCCTCGATTTTTGAGTCTCACACTTGTCTCACACACAAACCAAAATCCTACTACGAAAGAGGAATCCACAAATTGCCTGTAAAATGGGCAGAAGTCGTCAATAATAATGGAGATTATTTGGAATGAATTGATGGTTTTATGTTGAATAAATTTTAGTTCAAAGTCCCGCAGTTTTCAATTCACCAACCCAATAGATGAGATTTGATGGATGAATGGGGAAAAGCATCATATTGCTTGTCAGCAGTTTTGTTCATCCTTGCTCTCTTTGCTATTGATTTTATAACTGCTTCTTGGCTCATTAATGTATTGAATTCTTGGCATTGAAACGAGTTTATTAAATAAACAAGGTTAGAACAAAAAGATGATTTGAGAAGCTTGAAAAAAATGAACACTGTGACTAGAGTTGTGACGCTTCAAAACAATTTTTCAATCATTATGCGGAATTAATGAGTTAACTAATAAAGATATAACAAAAAAATGACTAGAATGACAAGATTTAATTGAATCAGGAGTTGAATCAGATTAAACTCGGCATATCATTCGGAATCTCATCATCTTCATCGAAAATCTCTTGCTTTTTCTGTTCACTTTTTGGTTTCCCATCGTGAATCGTGATCTCTTCGACTTGTTTTACCAGCTCAGCAGCTAAATTCCAGTGTGTTAATGGTCGATTTGGTTGATTTATTCGAACTTTTTCTTTAACACGACTCGACTACACCGAAATTATCATTTGAAAAGCAAACTTTTTGCCGTTTCCCACAATCTTCGATTCTCAAGGCTCATCGGATGATCCGCATCCAATGTGTAATCCAAAATATTTTGCGCCTCCTCGAAGTATTTCAACTGAAAACTTTGAGTTTTAAAGATTTCAGGTTTTCTATTCTTTATTCAATTCACAAAATAGCTCAATCCTTCTGATTTCTGATTGAGATCTTGAGCTTTGTTTTGCTGGCTTATGGTTTATGGTTTAAGGTTTAAGGATTAAGGTATTCAGTCCAGATTAGCTAGATTACGGTATTCGGTCTAGATTGGGTATTGAGTCTAGATCAGCCAGATTACGGTATTCGGTCTAGATTGGGTATTGAGTCCAGATTAGCTAGATTACAGTATTCGGTCTAGATTGGGTATTGAGTCTAGATCAGCCAGATTACGGTATTCGGTCTAGATTGGGTATTCAGTCCAGATTAGCTAGATTACAGTATTCGGTCTAGATTGGGTATTGAGTCTAGATCAGCCAGATTACGGTATTCATTGGGAAAAATCAATTTAGCATTTAGCAATCATAGCCATCAATCAAATTGATTGCTATTAAAACTAATTTCCCGATGTCCAACGATTTCCAGCTCTCCAGTTCGACTATAGCTCGAGAATTACCCAATTTAGTCAGTTTTTTTATCTTTAAATAGTTAAATACGAAGCGAAATAGGTGTTTGCTTTAATTTGACTTCTTTTCAATAACGAATGGCGTGAAATCTTTTCAGAAATCAAGACAAAAACGCGATCATCAAGAAATCGACCTTAAGCAAGAGCTCTTATTTTCACATCCATTGATCATTCATCCGGGAGCGTTTTTCTAGTAATTTACAATTGATTTGAAGTGTTCAAATCTTTAGGTATCCAAAATAAACGATCATCTACAATAGACTTGTAATTTTCTTTGCCGTCAGTACCGAAAACGAAGCTACGACGAGATTTTGACGGCTTAACTTCACATCTTTAAAAAGATGAACTAACGCAAACTTTTGAGAGTTTCTTAAAAAGCAATTTGTAAATAAAGAATAGGACTTTCTGATAAAACAAACCATAAATCGATTGGTTCATTATTCATTTCAAAAAGTAGCCTTTAAAACAGCGGATAAGACTCTCCGGTCAACCTAATAGCCATTTACCTACACTACTGGACAATGAAATATCATATTTGGAAAGAGATCGTCACTTTGATGATCCTGTTACTTACACATTTCTCCTTCTTTCCAAGATTTCCGGCAAAGATCGCAATATTGCGTAGATGGAAAGCAACGGCGGGATGGTTGTGGGGAAAAGAGCGACGAACACAGCTCTCCGACATCAAATGCAATCGAAGGAGTTCGTGATTGTCTGTTGGCGGAATCAGTGGGATCAAAGCCTTAAATTAGAGCCTTAAATTAAAGCTTTAAATTAAAGCCTTAAATCAAAGCCAAATATCAACCAAATATCAAATATCAATACGGTTTTAATTAACCTGAATTATCCGACAGTAATAAACGTTAACATGTGGTAAAATTTCGCCAAAACGGGTGAGCAGATCTTGTAGAAAAGCTGGCTGCGTTTTCCCTGGCATCTGAACAATTGTTTAAATTAAATCAAATTAAACAATTGAACAATTGACAATTGAAGGATTGACAATTGAACAATTGACAATTTAACAATTGAACATTAAACAATTGAAGAATTAAATCAATTTCAACTTTAAAACCTTTGAAAATAGTAATTAGCATAGTAAAGCACCTGTTCAAGTTCTTGATCATCGAAGACTTTGTCGATGAATCGCATGGCACCGATTCCCTCGAGAACATAGTTTTGCGCTAACTAAAAAGCTGATTTTAAAGTGACAAGAATGATCAAAAAAGTGTTAAAGTCAAAAAAGTGGTAGAGCTAAAGATTTCACTCACCGGCTCATTGCACTTTTTGCAAGTGATGATCGCAGAGTTGGGATTTTTGTTCGAATCCTCTCCCCATAAACAAATCTCGGTTGGCTCGACTTTCTGAAAGGATTAAATGCAACTTTTTAATTAACATAATAGACTTTTATGTCTAAAATTGAACATAGAACAAGTCTTTTCATAAACAGTTACTATTGCTCAACTCACCGAACACAGCGGACACAAAATCGACGTCAAAAGGTGATCTTTCGCGTCCAAGCATCGCTCGCATTCACAAGTGAAATACCATGTATCCTTCAATAACTTTCGTCGTTGTTGTTGAGAGCTAAAAGTTGTGGTTTTGATTCTAGATGCAAAAAGTCTATTACAAGTAGAAAATGGCAACAAAAACACACCATAACAAATCAATGTACGAGTAAAAAGTGTTTTTCTTGTCCAAGAGATTCACGGAGTTGTTCAGCCGTCGAAGGGTTGCTTTGAATCTGAATTTAGTGTTGGATAATCGATAATATTGACTTTTCATTTACATAATGATAATAGTAAGATTACATGGATTTAAAAAACTAGATGTTTAGATTTAGATCTTACCGAATTTAGATGTACAGAACCGAATGAGAGTTAGAGTTTAGAACCGAATGACACAAAAGTTCGGAGCCAACTTTTTTTCCGGACAAATTCAGGTTTTCAGATAATAAAAAACTATCCAATGCTGAATATTCTTATAAAAGTTTATAATTTTAGCAATTTAAGGCTTAAATTGCTAAATTTAAGTCTAATTTAAGACTTTGCAAGTAAAGATCAAGTCCTTTAAATGGCAATATATCGCCAAAATCAACCCAAATACCCGGTCGCTTCAATTTCTCTCAAAAATCATCCGAATTTTCTGAATTTTCTGATTAAACGTAGTCACTCAAAATCAATTTTATTCTTTAAACACTTTCTAGACAAATCGCAAACTTTGAGATTGATTGAAGCTGAAATGTAAAACTAAAAAGCTAGCTCTAAAAAGTAGCTCTAAAAAACTAGCTCTAAAAAGTTGGCTCTCACAGTTTTAACTGTGATTTCACGTAAGAAAATAGGTCTATGTACTGTTGAGTAGTTCTATGTACTGTTTTTAGTCCTGTTTTTGCGGAAAAATTATTTCTAGACCGAAATTTCATTTAGATCATTTAGATCATTTAGAATTTCGAATTTCTAAACTGTTTTTCAAAACAATTTCCTGTTGGCCGTAAAAATGGCCCCTAAAATGGCCCCACGAGGTGACTCCAGGCTTTTGTGTCATCCTGAAATGCTAATGGAAATGCTAATTTGAATAAAGAGAATGGTATGCTAAAAATGCTAATTTGTATAAAGAGAATGGTCTTCAATGTGAAATGTTTACCCATTGCAAGTGTAGATTGTGTTCGGACGGCAGCTGTGATCGTAGGAACAAAGATCTAAGTAGAGACCTTTTCCGATCTCCTGAAACGATAAAACTTGCTCTGTTTCAGATCGAAGTCAAGGTTTAAACCAGTTACAGGTATGAACTGCACTGACTATCCATACTCAAACTACAAGCACGCCAACAGCTTACTGAGTTTGTAGAAGTTTACGTTTGAAAACTGAGAATGCAGATCAAAAACCATAGGGCCTAAGTTGATTTTTGTCAAATGGTGCGAGTTGGGTTTGGAATTTGAGAAAAATTGAGAAAAAAGTACACTCTAGCGTTTACTTGAATCCCAAACCTTCATATATCCTTTATCACTGATCGCATGCCGATTGATATAGTTTCTGCAGTGCAACTCGAATACCGTGTCCTTGGGCAACAACCATTTCTCTCCATAAAACGCCAACAGCTCGGTATAGATTTCTGAAATGAATTCCGTTTCAATGAACTCCGCTTCAATGAATTCCGTTTCAATGAATTCCGTTTCAATGAATTTTATTGATATTCAAGTTTACCATCGAATTTCTTTTGCGCAAAATCGTCGACTTTCATCTGTTCGACGTGAGACCAGACTTCCATAAATGATCGCTGTGAGGTGCGATCCTTGTAGAAATCGGGATCATCTTTGTCTTTGCCGGATTGAATAGTCTGGATTTGTGAATGGATTGGAATTTCTGGGATACGAGCACAAAAAAGCAATCAATCAAAAACGCAATCAATAAAAAAAGCAATCATTACTTTGTAACGGTGAACGATTCTTCCCAAAAGTCGGACCTCGATATCATAGAGTTTCTCAGCTGTTCGGAAGCCTTTACATTCTGCCTGAAGAAGACTTTGTAGTTTAAATATTTATGACATTTATAGACAATTGTATACTTATAATTGTCTATAAATGTCATAAATAAAGGCCGTAAATATTTAAATGTATCAAATTTCTGAGTTCGAATTCATGATAAAAAGTGAGCAAGTTTCTTTCGACAGCTCAAAAGCTGAGTGCTGAAAAGTCCCCATCTCTCTAAATTTGGTTCCCTATCTCTCTAAATTTGTTTCCTATCTCTTGAAATTTTTTTGAGTACAAATACTCAAGGACAAAAGAGAAAAGGGGATTTTCCTTTGATAATTTGTGAGTGTGATCTTTATATTAGAACCAGATCACTTACTATTAGAGATATATCTAGAAATCTAGATAAATGTGGAAAGCTAGATCTAGAAAATCTAGAAATCTAGATAAATGTTGAAATCTAAATCTAGATCTAGAAAATCCTGAAATCTAGTTCTAGAAAATCTTAAAATCTATATAAATCTAGAAATCTAGATAAATCTTGTAATCTAGATCTAGAAAATCTAGAAATCTAGATAGAATTTGTATACTAACGAGGCCTGAAAGCCAAATCGTTTAAACCAGAAACCATCTTGATAGGAAATCAGTGCAAAGGGCAAATTTAGTCTTTTCAAAGTTAAATTTAAAGCTAAAAGCTAAATTTTATTGTCTTTCTTGGTAAACTAGAGCAAGCTTTAGATATTTAGATATTTTTAAGCCGTTATCATTTAGTTCTTCTGATCTATTCTGATCAAAACAAATGGCTTTCCAAGAGTTCTCAATCTCAGCATTTCTCAGCACAAGAGTTCTCAATCTCAGCATTTCTAGGCCATTTTGCGACCGTTTTTAAAGTGTTTTAAATCGAAACAAGCACTCAAAGCAGGTCCGTGCCCGGGAAAAAATCTAGGGAACAGCAAGAAATTGTTTTAGACAGGTCTATACAAAGAAAATTTTAAAATTAGACAAGTCTATATAAAAGTTTTTAAAATCTAGATACGAGTCTGACTCAAAGAGTACAATTTGATAAAGTTGTTGAAGTTGATAAAGATAAAGATAAAAGATAAAGTTGAACGCTTTTGATAACAAACTTTGTGATCTTTCCATCCCAACATTTGACATTCCTTATCACAAAAGATCGCCAGTCCACAGCCGATGCAATGTCTAAAGTTTAAGAACTTTAGTCAATCATAAAGCAGCAGAAATATTTCATACAATCTTTTTTTCTTATCCCTTTTTCTCTTTCCCTTTATTTCTATTTCCATTTCTTCAAAATTCCAATATCTTTTTGCCTTTTTCACTTGGTTTACACCATGATGCAATTGCTAAAGGGCGAGTCTCAAAACCCCTTTTCCTGGCAGTCCCAAATGGAAGCAGCGTGGCGCAGTGGAAGCGTGCTGGGCCCATAACCCAGAGGTCGGTGGATCGAAACCACTCGCTGCTAATCACTTTTTGTTTTTCACCAAATTTTTGCAAGAATTTTATTAGCATGTGTTTTACTTTACGAAAACATGTTTAGACAATAACAACACGGTTTTAAATCCAGAAATCAATAGATTACTATTTTCTTTACAGTTATTCTTTGTAAAGAAAAGGGTTATCAATTGCTTTTTCTCCTCTTCTCTCTAAGATTTCCATCTCTCAAAAGCCTTTTCCTGCAGTCCCAAAATAGAAGCAGCGTGGCGCAGTGGAAGCGTGCTGGGCCCATAACCCAGAGGTCGGTGGATCGAAACCACTCGCTGCTAATCACTTTTTGTTTTTCACGAAATTTTTCAAGAAAAGCAAAGAATGGAATAGATTCGAAACCAAAGAACTGCCAATCCTTCTTTGCTAAAGGTTCAAAAGGATTTGAATTTATAATTGTTTTCTCAAAAATTTGATGGAAAACAAAAAGTGATTAGCAGCGAGTGGTTTCGATCCACCGACCTCTGGGTTATGGGCCCAGCACGCTTCCACTGCGCCACGCTGCTTCCATTCTCGACCCCCCAGGAAAAGGCTTTTGAGACACTTGTTTTTACGTTTCATCAAATATGTGATAAACGATAATCTAAAGTAGCTTACCTCTTTTGCGGGCAAATTTGTAGACAATACCAGCAATATGTTTCCAGTTCCTCAGTGAATAAAGCATAGGCGAATGGATAGAATTCTAGTCGAGTTGGTGAGTCTTTTGCCTCTTTCATTCTGCTAAAAGTTTATCGTTTACTCGAATTCAAGAAAAGTTAAACAAAGTGATTAAAAGTTGAAGCTAGATTGATTAGATCTTCTGAGAATTTGGAAAATTTGGAAAACAATAGCAAGATACCAAATTCTCGTAGAGGCCAAAATTTAAAGTCAAATGAATTTCGAAGGATTCAAAGTAAAGGAATGGAAGTAAAGGAATGAAAGTAAAGGATTCAAAGTAAAGGATTCAAAGTAAAGGATTCAAAGTAAAGGAATCAAAGTAATGGAGGCAAAGTAATGGAGGCAAAGTAAAGGAATCAAAGTAAGGGGAATCAAAGTAAGGGGAATCAAAGTAAAGGAATGAAGGTAAAGGAATCAAAGTAAAGGAATCAAAGTAAGGGAATCAAAGTAAAGGAATCAAAGTAAGGGAATCAAAGTAAAGGAATCAAAGTAAGGGAGTCAAAGTAAAGGAATCAAAGTAAAGGAATCAAAGTAAAGGAATCAAAGTAAAGGAATCAAAGTAAAGAAATGAAAAGTAAAGGAATGAAAAGTAAAGGAATGAAAAGTAAAGGAATCAAAGTAAAGTAAAGGAATCAAAGTAAAAGAATTAAAGTAAAGGAGTCAAAGTAAAGGAATCAAAGTCAAATAGTCAATGAAGTTAAAGGTTTATTTTCCATTAAGTGAAGGTGCCAATCTCATTAAAAAGTTTTATCTAATCAATTTTGCAAAATGCAAGCAAAAATCCGGATATCTTTAGTTGAGTTGAGGCGAAAAAGTGCAAAAAGAAAGTGCATATATTTGTGCACTCCTCCTTTTCTCTTTCTTTTCTCTTTTTGCTCAACGAGGGCCGATTCGATCGATCCGATTGGTTCCATCTTTTCTTTTCTTTTCTTTTCTTTCCTTTTCAGTCTTTCTTTCCCCAAAAGAAAATGTGTAACAACGGACTCTCAGCTTTTTCGATCTCATAGTAATTTTTGCAATGAGACAATGAAGTAAGTTGGATTTGAAACATCTACAAAAGATAAGTTCTTGTCCGCTATTCAAGGGTTTTCAAAGTATCCATCTCATATCCTCATACATATACAGGGTGCGTCATAATTATTGCAACAAGCGTTTAAAGACCGTTTGTGATGTTAAGAATGTGATGTCATGGGCGTGTAAAGCCAATAACAATCAAAATTGGACCTTCATGCAAGATGGAGCTCCCGCTCACACGAAGAAGACGGTTCAGGACTGGTGTGTGGCCAACTTTCCCTCAGTGATCACCAAGGATGAATGGCCTCCAAACTCACCGGATCTCAATGTGATGGACTTTTCCATTTGGGCAATCTTAGAGGCTAATGTCTGCTCTTGAAGTCTGCTGTTTGACCTGGAAGAAGTCTTTGACCAAAGGATGGAAGGCGACTCCTCAAGATGACATTCGGGCCGCAGTGGAGGCATATCCGAACCGATTAAGGGCTGTTATCAAGGCAAAAGGCGGTCATATCGAATGATCTCTTGTTTCCTTATTTGTTACTGTTAAATAAAGCTATTTATGTTTAAAAATCTTCTTCCAGTGAAACTTCTTGGTGTGCAATGTTTTGAGTATCTTGTTGCAATAATTATGACGCACCCTGTATGTAATTTCTATGAATCTTTATCAAATTATCAAAGCTATAAACCTTCAAAACATTGCTTTTCATTCAAAAATAATAGACAAGAGACAAAAATAACAGAGAAGAGACAAAAATAACAGACAAGAGACAAAAATAACAGACAAGAGGCAAAAATTATTAGTTTAACCGGAAAGTCTTGTTCGTCTTTGTGAAAGCTTTGTTTAGAAATGAACAATTAGCCGATAAACGTGTGATTTGAACAATAAAACCCGATAAACGTGTGAACGCCGATAAACGTATGAACGCCGATAACGTGTAGACGCCGATAAACGTGTGATTTGCTTTAAATAAAAAAGATTAACGATTACATTTAGCTTATTTAGCTCATTTTTACTCAAATTTGAGTCGACTTTGAAGCAAATCCAAAAGAGAAATCTTGTTTTTCCGAAAATCCTTACAATAGACATAGAATGAAAATGGCTTAGTGAAATGTTATGTAAATTTGTCTTTGTCATTGTCTATGTCATTGTCTATGCCATTGTCTATGTTATTCCCCATCTTTTGTCTTCTGAAATGAAAATAGATTTCTGTAAGTGCTCAAATTGGAACTTTGGTTGAAAAACAAAAAGTGATTAGCAGCGAGTGGTTTCGATCCACCGACCTCTGGGTTATGGGCCCAGCACGCTTCCACTGCGCCACGCTGCTTCTATTTTGGGATGGCAGGAAAAAGGTTTTGACGGATGGAAATTCAAATCTTTTCCCTCTTTTCCCTTGGTTTACACCATGATGCAATTACTAAAGGGCGAGTCTCAAAATCATTTTCCTGCCATCTCAAAACAGAAGCAGCGTGGCGCAGTGGAAGCGTGCTGGGCCCATAACCCAGAGGTCGGTGGATCGAAACCACTCGCTGCTAATCACTTTTTGTTTTCCATCAAATTCTTGCAAGAAAAGCATAGAATGGAATAGATCTGTCGGCTTGAAACCAACGAATTACCAATCCTTTTTTGCTAAAGGTTCAAACAGGATCTGAATTTATACTTGTTTTTAGGTTCCATCAAAGGTGGGTTAAGCGAAAAACGATAATCTAATGCAGCTACACGCTAAATCTGATCTTTTTTCAGCAAATCTATTAGCTTCAAATCTATTAGCTTATCTACTAGAAGATTCTTTTATTTGGGACTTGTCATGAGTATATTTGGAAAGATAACCTCAGTATTTCAAAAGAATAAGCCTCTCCTTCACTAGCGTTTCTTCTCGAGCTCCGTCTCACCACTCTTCTTCTTTTACTGTAATTGGCCCTTTGCCAATGTCTATTTTGGTTCCAGTTCTTTTTTTTCCCTTTTCTTCACTAGATGTTTTCTCTTTTCGCTCAAATGAATCATTTGAAAGCATCATGTTTCAAAATCTATTGTTGTTTATTCGTTCGTTTTGATTTCATAACTTCGCTTAAATTCAATGTGGTGTTTATTGAGAATTGTTTGAATGGAGAGTTTGAATGAAGAGTTTGAATGGAGAAGTTATTACATTTTAATTTAAGATTTAAAAGAACAAAAGTATTCAAAGAAAGCTAATAAAGAGAAATAAATTGAAATAAATTGAAATAAAATTGAAACCAAAATAGGAAATTTTGAAATTGATTTGAACTGATTGATTGATGTGAACGTTGAAAGAACTTTTCTAATATTTGAAAGGCTTACCGTAAATACTGTAATAGTACCCCACCGCCCTCGTACAGTCGCGTAGTCGCAAAAGCTTTTTATTAGGGTGGTGCAAAAGAAACCGCCGATGGGTATCAGCTCTCATTTATCAGAAACGAGCGATGCTAACGGAATTATTTTTACAAATACTAATCAACTCGGTTCATCTTTACTTACAGTTGTTGTATGGTGGTTTTTTTTACTCGCAGTACCTTTTGCAAGTACCTACCGTAAATACTGTAATAGTCCCCCACCGCCCTCGTACAGTCGCGTAGTCGCAAAAGTTTTTTTAGTATTTCATTTTTTTCAAAGCGCCCGTACTTTCAAAAAATGCGTCTTTGGTATCAAAAAATAGCTGAAATTTAGGGCTATTTTTTGATATTTAAGCGCACATTGTAGCATAAACCAGTGTCGAGAAAAACTCGTTCAAAGCTGACTACGCAACACTCCGCACCGTCATTATGGGGTGGGGTACTATTACAGTATTTACGGTATATTATAATTCATATCAATCATTGTGCTTTAAATTAAGCCACTAAACTATAGTTATCGGGAGTGGGACAAATGCGACCTTTTTTTCCGCACCTTGCCCATTAGCGCACCTTTTTTCGCGTTTTAAAACAGCTCTAAAAAGCTAATATTAACGAATTTCTATTCCAAAAGTTGTTTTTCTAGGTAATTTGAGGGTGTAGAATTCAAATTTTGACATAACAGAGCGTGTGGAACCAATTTGAAAGACAAAACGGCTAGATCAAATTACAGAAAATTGTCGATTTTTCTCTTTGTATAACTCCGTCCGTTCGCTTCCACAAGCTCTGATATGCCAAAATTTCGATTCTACGCCCTAAAATTACCTAGAAAAACAACTTTTGGAATAGAAATTGGTTAATATTAGCTTTTTAGAGCTTTTTAAAACGCGAAAAAAGATGCGCTAATGGGCTAAGTGCGGAAAAAAAGGTCGCATTTGTCCCGCTCCCATAGTTATCCATTGAAAATCTGATAATTAATTAATCTGATAATGATAATTAATTCTGTTTATTAGTTTTCAAATTTTTTCCATTCAAAGAATCAATCCAGAGCTTTTTCCGGAAATCTCAAGAAATTCCCTGTCGCTCCTCCGCTTAGATTTTATCGCAAAGCCGCTTTTTCTAGTCTCGTTTTGACGCCAAGAATCTAAAAATTCTTTATTTTCATTTTAAATATGACTGAATATCTTATTATTGTAAGTTTTTGAGATTAATTTCTTTCAAAAATTCCACATCTTTCAATATCTATCACTTTCAGGAAGAGATGTTCTCCGATGACGGGGATTCGGAAGGTAAGATTTTCGAGTTTTAACCAATAATGCTAAAGTTTTGAAAGAGATTTATGCAAAACTTATATGCCTGACTTTATATTTCAATTTCTAGACTCATTAATAAAGTTTAAAATGGTTTTTTAACGATAAACACTCAGCTTTTCAGCCCCATCCTCGCGGAAACACCGAACGACGAAGCTCGGCGGTGCCACATATCAATCAGGTAATTTTTAAGAAAACTAGCAAAATGAATGACTAAATTTTCTAAAGATTTCACCTTTCCCTAGTTTCTTTTTCAGTTTCCGAGTCTGAGGGAGATTTTGGGGACGAGAATGTGTGTCTCATCAACAAAAAGAAACCGATGAAAGGGGTGAGTTGAAGAGAATGCGAAGAGAAGAGCAAAAAATTATTAGATTAACTATTATTAGATTAACTCAAGGCTTTTCCATAAAATTTAAAGGATTTAGTAGGATTTTGATTTGTGTGTGTGACAAGTGTGAGACTCAAAAATGGAGGACTGGAGATGTCCGATAGAGAGTTTGAGCACTTTCTTCAAAAGAAACCCATTTTGGTATCAATGGAAAAGTTGTAGAGAATCAAAAATTAGGCTTATAGCCAAATTTCCAAAAAGATACACTTAGTAGTTTCGCTTAAAATGCAAGTTTTGTGGCAAGTTTTGTGAAAATTCGTCGGCATTTCTTGAAATTGTCATTTTTTCAAAACCAGTTTTTGAATCGTTCTGAAAATTAGGATATAAGCTTGATTTTTGATTCTCTACAACTTTTCCATTGACACCAAAATGGGTTTCTTTTGAAGAAAGTGCTCAAACTGTCACAGATGACAATAGCCGGCAGTTTTCAATTCACCAACCCAATATAAATTATAGAATTATTTGCAATTTATCTAAAACGATTTGGCAAAAGAAATCTCCCTTTTAATAAAAAAGTATTTTAACTAAAGTTTTATTTTATTTTCCACCTGAGCTTTCATAGAGACACATTAAGTGAGAAAAAAGGATGAAAAAAGAAGAAAAACCCGTTTCGCAAGAGAATGACATGCTCATTCTCGTGGCATTGTCTAGTTTCAAATTACATAAGATGAGATATTTCTTGTTTTTTAATCCACCGGTTAGTTTATTTGAAACGATTTATTCAAATCACTATTTCCAGGAAGAACGCGCTCCGCTTTTGCATCGACCAGTTGGCGGTGGTGCACCTGGACCATCGGAAAGTGCTGGTCGACTTTTCGAGGATGCTCGATTGGGCAGAAGTAGTTGTACGACTGAAGAAGAAGAGCCGGCGAATGGTTAGTTTTATGTACGATTTACTTTACGCGCACAAACGGACCTTTCTATCGCATCCTTTCTATCGCACTCTTTAGGATTAAAAGTAAAGGAAAGTAATTTGAGCTCTTACAAGCTCTTACAGCTAAAGGAAGAGCTCCACGCTTGCTTTAGCTAAAGGAAGAGCTCCACACTTCCTTTAGCTGTAAATTACAACTATAGGAAGTGTTTTGGAAGGATAAATGAGAACATTTCTGTCATAATCTGTATTTACGGAGTTAATCGTTTTCTGAAGTTCTAGCAAGCTTTACCCAATGAGTCAAATTGCCAATGAGCCTTTGAGACAAGTCTTAGCAAATTAGCGAATTAGCTTAGCAAATTTTTGTGGACTTCTGAAATGTTAAATAATATTAAAGGTAATTGTTGTCTCGTCTGGATTCCTCTTTCTCCCCCAATCTTGTTGTTGTTGTTGTTGTTGTTTGTTATATTGTTTAAATTTGCTCATTTCCTCACTGTTAAGTCAGCGTTAAATCAGTTAAATCAAGTCAAATCAGTGAAATTATTGCTTGCATCCTTTTTCAAATCAATTTCAATTCAAATCTTGATCCATCTTGATCCATTTTGCTCGAATAACGCATTTTAGCTTTATTATTAAATTCGTGCAAGTAACTCGTTGTGTTGAAGTAAAAGTACAAATAACGGGTGAATTTTGGTTGCTTAGTGGCATAACTGGTAAATTTTGGTTGCTTAGTCGAAGTTTGTACGGTGCAAGAGACTGAAAGTCTTGATTTAAACACACATAAACTAGTGTTAAGACAAGAAAATATCAATTCAATCAAATGCAGTCAAATCAATCATTTGCAGAAGATCCGATCGTTGCCGATGAATACGGGACGATCAGTGGCGGTGATGACTTCAGATCGGCTATCGAGGAGGCCATTCGAGCGATTCATCACGGAGTTTTCCCCGAGCGAATTGCTCAAGGCTCTTCGGGAAGCTATTTTGTGAAAAACACGCAAGGGGTGAGTTAAACTTTATTGTAAAAAGAAATGGTTCTTTCAGAAAATCGTCGGTGTGTTCAAGCCGAAAAACGAGGAACCCTACGGGCATTTGAATCCGAAATGGTTGAAATGGTTGCATAAAGTAAGTCTAAAGTCGTTTTATGTGTGCACTTTGAGTTTAAGCATAGAAACACACCATTTCTGGCTCGCTTTATCTCTATCAAGAACCCAAGAAATGGAGAATAAGATGGAATAAAGGGCACGAGAAAGATGTGTTTCTCTGTTGTGCTCAAAGTAAGTAACCCAGTGTTTCATTCTTCACAACAACTATTCTTTCATTAACAAGAACTATTTCCAAAGTAGCCGTAGTAGTAAAGTCCAAAGTAGTAAAGTCCAAAGTAGTAAAGTTTATAGCCCAGTTAGTAAAAGAGGACATTTAATCTTTTTGCAACAAATAATACAGATAATCAATCAGAGATACAGAGATAATCAATCAATAATACAGATAATCAATCAGAGATACCAGTACTCGTATTCAGATGAGATAAGAGATTAATAATTTAATTAGAAAGTCGATAATTTTCCAGCATCACACTCAGAAAAATTGAAAGAACGAATGTGAAAGCGGCACAGCCTTCGAAGCGCTTTCTAAGGCTTAGCCTTCTAAGCACAGCCTTCTAAGCTCTTTAGAGCTAGCAAGTAACTAACTAATTATGCAAAGGCAAATTCATAAACTAGTTAATATGTAGTAAAGAGAGAGGACATTCAATAGCAGCAACAGCATGATTGCTAAGTTCCATATATTTCTCGTAAATACTATCCTTGAGCTCGCTTGGTGCCTTGTTGAAAGCCTTGATGAGCAAGTGACAGACGGGCACAATTTGTCCATGTTGCAAAAGAGCTCGTCGAGAAACTTCATCATCATTGAAATCAAATACATGCATGGATTGACAAAATCTTTAAATCCTTTGAGTGTTGAAGAATTCCAAAGTAGTTTGGGGTTTCCAATTCAGAAAAATGGAGCTCCAACTCGAATTTAGCTCTACAGGGTGTTCTAAAGTTCTTTCCCCTTCTAAAAGACCACTTTTCCATTGTTTTACGAAGTTTCTAAGACTCAAAACCTACAAAATTAGATTTTTCAAGTATTTTTACGCTAGAAAATTGTTTCACATCTTCTATTTTATTCATATAGAAAATTTTATAGAACTTTTTATGACAACATTTAAGAAAACCCTGGTCGCCGGCCAAAATAGCTTTCTTAGCTTCGTAGCAAATTAGAATTTGATATTTTCAAAAGTTTTTAGTAACTATTTATCTATGAAAACAGTTTTTTATAATTTATTACGATTTTGAATTTGCAGTTGAGCATTCTCGTCTCCTTTTAAAGTCCCTCTTGATCGACTTGTGCAGTTTTGAGATTTAATTTCATTTTTGGTCACCGCTTCTCAAAAAAAGCCGGATTGTAGAAGGAAAATTTCTTACGAACTATGGCTAGCCAGATGTGAATAATGCTAAAAAGCCCTAAAAATGTTTTATTAGCTAAATAGTCGTTTAGAAAAGTGTTTAGGAAAGCTAAAAAGTTCTCAGGACAATGTTTTAGCTAAATAGTCATTTAGGAAAAGTGTTTAGAAAAGCTATTTTGGCCTGCGCGCAGAGGGTATCTCAAATGTTGTCATAAAAGTTCTATAAGACTCTCTGTATGAATAATTTGTTTTATAAATAATTAAAGCACCAATACAATTAGAATTTTCCTCAAATCACGTTGTTTATAGTTTAATTTGCGATCTTCAAAAGCAAATTTAGAACTTTAGCCTTTAAATGCTAATTTTGGCAACTTTTTGTCTGATCTGGAAGTCACTAGGCCGATTGCAGTCATTCCTTTTACAAAAGTATCAAACAGGAGATTTCAAGTTAGCTACCGTAGGCAATGTCGCCAGTTTAGACCATTAGAAGCTCTTAAATGCAAATTTTAGCAGAATAGAAAAGTACAATTTGTTTTGTACACTCACCTGTAAGAAGATAGAGAAAAACGGCGCCAAAATTGATCGGCTTCTGTAGGTAAGTAGGCCAACTTTGACACCGTTTTTCACCATGTTCTTACACGCGAGTATGCATCGAAACATCGAAAACATGGAAACATCGAAAAATGGCGTCAAAGTTGACCTACTTGCCTACAGAAGTCGATCAACTTTGACGGTTTATATCTCGACTTCCAGCGAATAGATCGACTTGCAGTTGGGCTTAAAAGAACCCTCATCAAAATTGCATATAGAAAAGAAAATGAGTAAAATAGAAGCAATGAAACAATTTTCTAGCGTAAAAATACTTGAAAAATCCAATTTTGTAGGTTTTGAGTCTTGGAAACTTTATAGAACATCGTAAAATTGGTCTTTTAGGAGGGGACAGAGCTTTTCACGCACTTTGTAGAAACAAAACCATTTGTTTTCTTCAAAGCATTCTTTTCGGCGGTTGATTGTTAAGCATTCTTTTTGGCGGTTGTAAATAAAAGATTAAGCACGCCAGGAAGACTGCGTTTACAATTTTTTGCACCAAAAGATAATTCGATTTTTGATTATCCACTGCATTCACTATGAAATCTTTGCTCAAATGCAATCTTTCAGGTCTTCCTTCCCTGTTGCTTTGGTCGAAGTTGTTTGGTGCCTAACCAGGTTGGTTTTTTCGACAAATTTTCTTTGCTTTCTCTGCTTTTGCTGTTTATCGATTGCTGTTCATCGATTTTAAAGATTTATTTACAAAAACGTACTGGGCAGCGCTGAAATAGGAAAAGAAAAAGAAAAAGAGAAAGAAGTCAGAAAGAAAAATGCTCTCTAACATTTTGAAAGATCTAGCGAAAACGGGCGAATCATTTAAAAATGAGAGCTTTGGTTTAAGCAAAAAAAATGACAAGAATTTAGAATCATAAAATTTAAAAATGCAATAAGCTCAAGAACAAAAAAAACTAGAATATCTACAACCGGATAGGGAAATTTATAGAGGAAAATAACTGGCTACGGCAGTGTTTAAATGCCACGATCACGTCCCAGGGTGTCGTAGCGAGAGCCTAAAATTAATTTTAGAGAATTTTAGGGTCCATTTTTAAAATTCTAACATAAGTAAGCATCGCTAAATGCAAATTCAAATGTTTCTATCTTAAATTATCCTTTTTTTTTTCATCTTTCCATCCCTGGAGCATTTTTTTTACCCCTTCAAGTTCCAGCTTTTCAAATCAGTTCTTTCTTTATGACAAAATTTATCGTACATCTACTTTTATAAGATTTTATCTTGTTAACTTGATCATTTCAACCTCTACCTGTCATACTCGATGTCTCACTCCCCGGCCCTCCATAGGAAATCTCTTGAGGCTCTCTCGGGATCATCACCTCAGCTCCGATATCTATTACAGATTTATAGGTTGATGCATAAGTCTTTACAATTTTTCTCGAAACGTCATTTAAAACTACTGCCGCCACCAGCAAAATTTCTATTTAAACTATTAAAAAGCTTGATTGTTTCTCTGCAAAATGGCTTCTAGGAAATTTTTGAAAATAGTTGTTTTTATGGATTTTCAAAGGCGCAAAAGCGAGTACCCAAAACTCGCCCAATACTCGCCGAATACTAAAGCCGCAATTTGGACACTTTCTTCTATACAAACCTATTTTGGTGTCTAAGTAAAAAAGATAGAGCTCATTTGATTACATAATTCTGTAAAATTCGAAAACGATCCGTCCAGCCATTTTCTTTAAAACAGCAATTGAAAATTTTACATAAAAATGGGTTTTCAACCGAGTTGAGGCGAGCTTTGAGCTTTCTCTCAAAAGCCATTTTGTAGAGAAATGATTGACCTTTTTGATAGTTTAGAACGGAACAAATTTGGTAAAGAATTCTTTTCTGTGGAAAGAAAAGTTTGAAAAGAATTCTGTGAAAAGAAAAGTTTGAAAAGAATTGCAAAGACTTATGCAACTAATCTAGTAATTTTTTATAAATAAATTATCAAATTGAACTTATAAAATCCTTTTCTAAATTCTATTTCGAATTTTATCAGCTCTTATTATATCAGCTCTTATTTTTATCTCACCTTCTTCGGCTCTCGGAATCTCGATGATTGAGGGGTCACGGGTGCTGGGCGCATCACTTCCTCGACCTAGACTTATATTTAAAAACATCCAGACAGTCCAGACTGAATACCTTATTCTAGACTGAATACCTTATTCTAGACTGAATACCCTAATCTAGACTAAATACCGTAATGCAGCTAATCTGGACTGAATACCCTAATCTTAATTGTATATCCTAATCTAGACTAAATACCGTAATCGAGATAATCTAAATTGAATACCTTATCTTAGACTGAATACCATAGACTAGACTGGATACCGCTGGATTCATAGATAGTTGTTATAAAAAGCTTTTTATTTGAAGAAATTAGTCTATAGACGAGTTTTTACAAGCGCACAAAAAAGTCTTTACAAGCGCAGAAAGTGGTTTTCTGAAAGCAGTCACCTCTTTAGTGCTCAAAAGCTTTCAAAGGTGCTTTTCATGTGATAAACTTGTCATTTTTGCACAATTTACCTCCATAAATTGATCCAGTCACCGATGGATCTCTTCCCATCACTGAGGTCGGTCTTGGGTCATAAGTCTGACGATGCGTCGGTGTTGAGGCACCCAACGGAGGCGTTAACGGATTCGACGCAAACGTTGATCTCACTCCCGAATAGTTCCCAAATCTGAAGCTTTATTTTTGAAAAGAAAACAATATTTTGTCAGACAGATAGCTTTAAACTCAGAAGCCACAAGTGAACGAGTACTTAAAAGAGTTTTTTTTCTCAAGAGACTAGACTTTGAAAAGCACTAACCCTCCGATTCGTGGATGAAGGCTAAAATTTTATTTATTAAAAGACTAACTTTTAGCTCTATTGCTTAGGCGTAGATTTATTGTGTTTTTATTGCGCATAAATGAGTGTATTGACAGCTATTTTGATGTCACAGTATCTAGTTTCGTTCAACTCACCCGCCCAATCCACCACCAGCCGAGTGGATCCCTCCACGACCCAAATTAACATTGATCGTCGTGTCATCGTTTCCGCCAAAACCACGGATTCCCAACGTGTTCCCACCAAGACGACCAATGTCATTGACCAAGCCACGTTCAGCAAAGTCTCTAGAAATAAGCAACATTTACAGGGTATTCAATAATTACCCAAACTCATTATTTTAAGTGTAACTCAGCACTCAGATGTGCAATCATCTCACGTTTTGTTTTAATAAAAAAATTAGATATTGTTCTACAGTGGATTCTTAGGTTTGACGAAAAAACTTTTTCTGCCTTTTTTTATAGAACCTCAACGTTAGCAGTGAGGAGTTGCTTGGCGCGGCACTTGTTTCTGGCTTTTCATTTCCAGAAAACGCCAAAGATTGAACATTTCTTTAAACGCTTTTGTTTTTTCAATACGTTTTAAACATTATCAAACAAATCGGAAGCTAACATGACACTCAATTAGGCAAAATTTTTGCTATTTTAGGAATCTTGGTTTCACACAAGCCTAAGCGTTGTTATTTCAAAAGATGACCCTAAGAACCGAAATTTTTCAGTTTCTGTTAAATGGAAGTCTTTAACCTTTAGGCAAATGTATCCTAATAATCCGGAATTTAACGCAGAAACGTTCATGACCAGCAAAATTTTTGCTAAATCCTCTAAAAACAAGGACCGTGCCAAGCAACTCCTCACTGCCAACTTTGAGGTTCTATAAAAAGGCAGAAAAAGTTTTCTCGTCAAACCTAAGAATCCACTGTAGAAGAATATTGAAATTTTCTATTAAAATAAAACGTGAGATGATTGCACATCTGAGTGCTGAGTTACACTTAAAATAACGAGTTTGGGCAATTATTGAACACCCTATAGACCCCTGCTAGATGGATTTTTTTTGTACCCTGGCTTCAAAATGAAAAACCATTTTTATTGATTGCAATACTGATTTCTTACTTTGCAACAAGATAATTAGTTCAATAAAAAGGGTGTGTTTTCATTTTTGAGCAAAAAGAACAAATCAAGCTATCTAAATCAATTTTCTTTCAAAACAACTTTCACATCTTGAAGTTGTTTAGTCTAGATTCCCCAACCCCACCTTCTTCTGCGTCTTTCTTGGTCCAGTTGTTCTCTCAAAATTCTCAACTGGTCCTCCAATTGTTGAATTCGATTGCGATGAGTGCGCTCACGATTTTCAATGACCTAAATCTCAAAATTTCCTAAAAACCCCAATCAATCACACCTTTTCAATCTGTCCCTTCTCCTGTCTCATTCTCAACAATTGTCGCTCTTGTTCTTCCCGTTGCTTATTCGTCAATTCCAAAATCCGATTTCCATTCTCCATCTCCAATTGTGCGATTTGTTGCTGGAGTTGAGCGCAATTCTTGTACAACTCCTTATTCTCCCTCTCCATTGCATTCAGACTCTTTTCAATTGCTTCTCTTTGCAGTGCCGTTTCTCTAATCGCTGTATCCGTTCTTCTCTTATCCGTTTCAAGGAGTTCAATCTTTTTCATCAAATGCGCTTTTTCTTTCTTCCAATTCTCCAAGAGGTGAAGATTTTTGACCTTGTCAGTCTCGAGTTGCGTGAAGCGACGACGGAGATCCTCCAAGTCCTAAAATTGCTTTTGTTTTGGTTTATCGAACATTTGATACGGCCTTTTTACCATTGGCAATCTAACTTTGAGCTCAAATTCCTTGGTGTAAGGCTGTTCAATTTAAATATTCTTGGTATCATTAGGTTCGCCTAGTCTTTCACTGTCGATTGGTACAAAAACTATTTAATTTTGACAGCTCAGCATCACGATATTTGGGCTCAAAGTTACATTGGCAAAAGGGGCGGAGCCAGAAAGACCTTTTATACGAGCTCCGCCCCCTTTGCCATTGGCAATTTAACTTTGACACCAAATTTCTTGGTGTTGGGCTGTCAAATTTAAATAGTTTTTGTACCAATCGACAGAGAAAGACTTGTCGCGTCCAATGATACGAAAAATATTAAAATTGGATAGCCCAACATCGAGATATTTGAGCTTAAAGTTAAATTGCCGATGGAAAAAGCGGTGGCGCGAGTATCAAATGTCCCACAATCTTTGTTTAGTACTGTTGGTAATCTGAACTTAATCTTACTCAAATCTAACTTTCAACACACCTTTTGCAATTGTCTCTTCTCATTCTTGACCGTCTCGAGTTGTTGCTTGAGATCAGCCTCTGTGCTTCTTTGCTGAGTCAATTGTTTCTCAAGATTCAACAACCGATCCTCCAAACGATTCTTTTCCCCATTAGCATCTTGGAGTTGTCTTTGGAGATCGGAGACACGAGAGTTCACATCTTGAACTCTAAAATGACAATGGTTGAATAAATTTCTGAACTTTAAAAAAAAGAATTCGTATTCTAGAACAAACAAACAAAAAAAGCAAAACCGAAAACGTATTTCGAACTTTCAAACCTCTGTTTGTGCTCTCTCAACTCGCTCCTCGAATTCAACAGCTCATTTTCCATCGTTTGTCGCCTCAAATTTGCCTGATTGAGCTCATTTTGTGCAGCGATCAATTGATCTTTGATCATCAGATAGTCCTGACTCGTCTTGCTGCTCAAATCCACTTGTCTTCTCAATTCCGATTCCAATGTCTCAGCCTTTGTCAAATCTCTCTTTAGTTTATCATTGTCATCCTTGTAATCAGCCATCTTTTGTTCGGTTAAGCGCATCTCACTGTCGAGTTGCTTGATCTTCTCTTGGAGATTCTGGAAAAAGAATATTGTTCAGAATTTGAGAAAAATTTCCTTAAATCTATTGTAACTATTCCTTTTCATGTTACCATTAAAAAAGCAAAACTTATTGTTCTTATCTACTAAATTATGTTATGTCCGAATCCGAATTAATTTGGAGTGATCTAACGTGGGCTCGGGGCCTGTGTCCGAGTGGTCTAATGCGCTGGGAACGTGCTGAGCGTGCTGGGCGGGTTCGATCCCCCGTGCCCGTAAAACTTAAATGCACGTGTTTTCTAATAGACTCACTTGTCTCTCTGATTCAAACGTGGCAATCTGTAGCTGCAATCGTTGATTCTCCGCATCACCCTCTCGATTTTTGCTCTCCAATTGGAATCTTGTCGTATCCCATTGCTCTTCGTGATCTCTTAACAAGCGAATATCGGCATGAGCGTTGTCGAGATCGGTGCGCAAATTCTGAAAGTATATTTTTGTCTATTAACATGTTAAAAAATTAGCTTTATCTCAAGGAATTCGAACTTTTAACGGAATATTTTTTAACTTAAACACTCCCTTTAAAAGAAAACAGTTGGCAGAAGCTATGAAAGTTTCCAAAATGATAGCTTGAGTAAATTTTGGAATAGGTTCTTGCACTCTGTGCCTACAGTAACCTAACCTGGCAATAGGTTATGGGTTGAACTTTACTGTAAACACTCAAATAAGGCGTACTGTAGGAATTTAAAGACTAAAGATCTTTATCCATCTTCAAAAACAATACCAACCTTCAATTGCTCATTCAAATGTCTCAATTGTGCCTCTTTTCCTCGTGCTTGCAGCTCAGCAGCCACCATTTTTGACTTCATCTGTCTCCTTTCTTCATCTCGTTGCTTGAAGTTCTCCTCTTGTGAATGAAGCAGATCCTTCGCCGCTTTCAGCTTTGCTTCAAGTGCACGTTTCTCTGAAATTTTGCTTTATATTTGAAAACTCTCTTCACTCACCATCTTCAATATTTTCCAAGTTGTCCTCAACTGTTTTGAAATGGGTTTCCTTTTTGTTGTAAGTGGTGCTGGTATCGGTGGCTTTTTGCTTCAAACGATTGAGTTCATCGCGCAGAGAGTTCTGAAAGTGGTTTTGAGCTAATGAGCAATAAAATTCTTTTGGCTAAAGCTAATTCAAAGCTAACCCTAGCTCTGTTCTATAGATTCCACTCCAACTCACTCTCTCACTCTCGAGTTGCTCGATTCTATTGAGAAGTCGTTGCAAAGTCGCCTCCAAAGCTGACGGATCAATGTGATCAGCTGGAGCAGGGAAAGGAACGGAGCGGGGCAACCCTGAATCCAAATCCTCTTCAGCTGCTGGGGGAATGTCGACAGAAGCCGGATCCCGGAAGCCAGGCCCTCCACCACCAAAGCGAATGCCAATGTTGGTATTCTGAAACAGATTTGGATACAATCTTATTCTTGGATACAATCTTTTGTAAGAATAAACAAGCTTTTACAAACGACACATACAGTGTTGCGCCTTCCACGGGAAACTTGTAACCTGTTTTCCTGCAAAAATCCCCACCAAAGTATAGTGTTATATATTTTCTGAAAGCTGAAATGTTTTTCTATCGAATGGTAGTAAAACGGTTTTATTTCAATTATTCCTTGTCGATTTGTGATGGTTGCAAGTCGACTAGACCCGGCGAGGCATGGCATGAGGTTTCTGGACACATTTTAGGCTTAGAAATTTTTAAAAGGGCTTGGCGAACAAAAACTTTTGACAATTCACATTCTGATAATGCTTTAAATCTATAGATATCTATCTATAGATTGAAAAAGTTCCTTTTGACAGGCATATTGATCTCAATTTTAGTCACTTCACCTTTATCAAAAATCTCCATTAGTAAAAAAAAACTCTAGTCGTTTTGCCACCGTCACACCTCAACAAGGCATAATCGAAATAGCACAGTTTTACAACCATTCGATAGAGAAACATTGCAGCTTTCAGAAAATGTCATAACACATTGTACTTTTAGTGGGGATTTTTTCATGAAAACAGGTTTACGAAACCGTAACACTATAAATGCCGCAGCCTGTAATATGACCTAAAATCCTAACCGATCAATGACTGTTTTTAAAGTGCTTAAAGTTTAAGCTTGATTACGGGGAATTTCCAGCCACCTAGAGTGGCAAATTTGGCCTAACTAAAGTGGCTAATTACGATATAACGATCAACTTTTAAAGGTCACTTTACGAGTGAAAAAAAGCTACCATAGTTCAGCTGTTAGGGGTAAATTATGCATGTAAATTTAAAGCCCAAAATCCCTCACCGAGCTCGGGTCATATCCTGCACTCCTTGCCGCTCCTCCAGCTCCACCCCTCACTCCAAAACCAGAATCAAATGCATTAATGTTGATAATTCTATTGGCGGACGCTTGGAATCTTCTCAATGCATCCGACAAGATATCCCTTTCTTGATCTGCTTGAATATATTCCTGTTGCAAAGCCAGCAATCTTTGCTCGGCATTGTCCAATCTTGACGTCAAATCGTTGATCTCGTACTTTTTCGTTTCCAACTCTTGCAACGCGTTCAAGCGGCCGTCCTCGGCCGCTCGATGCGCGTTCGCTAAATCGTTCAACGTGCTCTCATATTCATCCGTTTTTCGATGCATTTGCTCTAGTCCGAATTTCAGCTCTTGTTGCATTTTGTTCAGCTCATTTCTCAGTGTCGTTCTCTCATTGTCGGAGTTAATCAACTTTTCTGAGGTCGAGTTCAACTCGTCTCTCATTTTTTGGATTCGACTCTCGGCTGATTGACCCAATTGAGATAAGTGATCGACTTGTTTGGCCTTTTCGCGGAAAGCGTTTTGAAGGCGTTCTTTCTAAAGTTGAATTTTGTTAGACAAAGCTTACAAAAGGCTTATTGAATCTAATTTCAAATCTCTAAAGCTTATTGAACCTAACTTCAAATCTCTAAAGCTTATTGAACCTTCTAAGCCTTGAAATTTCTCCAAACCTCCGATTTGATCAAACTGTAGTTGTTCCTCAACTCCTTCAAACTGTCTTCGCTTTGTTGGAGTTTATTCCGAAGTCTTGACAATTCTGACTCCAAATTTACATTGGTGTTCTTCAACGTGTCATTTTCCCGTTGAGTTTGCTCAAGATCTGAGCGGTACTTGTTGCTAAAAGTTGGTTAAAAAAAATTTCAATTTCATCAGTTTTACCTGTCACTCTGCAAAATCGCATATTGATCCTCAAGGGTTCTCAGCCGATTTAACGCACTTTCCAGCTCACCATCTTTCTGCAAAAGCGTCGATTTCACATCGCTCAACTCTTCATCGAGGCGACGAATTTGAGAATTTACTGGAATTAAAACAGCTTTAACTAGTGTTGCTTCTATTTTAACTTACGTTCTCGAATTTTCGAGGTTAAGTCCAGGTTCTGCTTGTTGAGGAGATCTGCTTTATCAGTAGCCGCTTGCAATTGGGCATTTAAACCGGCGTTTGCCGTCTCGAGTGCTTTTGCCTCAGAGCGAATCGTGTAGGCTTCGGTTTTCCACTTTTGAACTTCCTGAAAAGTTTAGAGATCAAGAATTTCTTGTTTTTTTTTTTTGCAATCAGTTAACCAAATTTTCAAACACTCCAAAGAGTTTAAAAGCCTTTAAAGCTTCAAAAGTACTCAAATTCTTTAATTTAAGCCTCAAAAGTACCCAAATTCTTTGATTTAAGCCTCAAAAGTGGCCAAAGTCTTCAATTTAAGCATTAGAAGTACCCAAAGTCTTCAATTTAAGCTTCAAAAATACACAAATTATCATCCTCCTCCATCTCCTACCTTATCCATTTCATTTCTTAAATCCTCCAAATCGTCCCGATACTTTTGATTCTGTGAGTGCATTTGATTCATCTTATCATCTCGATCTTTCAAATCTTGCTCCAAAATGTTTTCCCTTGTAAGCGCATCACCCAGTGTTCTCTCCAAGGCATTGATCTTGTCCCTCAACTCGTTCTCAATCGATTTGAGATTTTCGAGAGACTAAATGAGAATTTTAAAACTTGACACTAAGAGTTGATTGAATTGTTGACTTTAAGTTGTTCTTTATGTAATCCTGTCCCAACTCACCTTGTTGTACTGTTCCCTTTCATCGTCAAGATCGCTCAAATGCTTATCATGCAGCGCAGCGAGTTCACCCTTCAGCTTATCAATCTCGGCTTGGTGTTTCCGTTGTAGCTCAGCCAAATCGTTTTCTTGACGATCCTGTCCGCGTCCAACCTAGAACCGAGCTTTTGAAAATCATTATATTCTAAAAACCTGTGCCAATTCATCTCGCAACTCTTGTATCTTTCTCTCCAAAGCTTCTTTCTCATTCTCGAGCCGTTCCACTTCCATTTTCCATTTGTCGTTTATGTCACGGATTCGAATCTCGGTGAGCTCATCATCGCGATAGGGATCAACGACACCGCCACGATATCTAAAAAGATGGAAATGTTAGTAGGAGAAGCTTTTTTTAAACCTTTCATCATCGATGGACGGTTCACCGTCTCGGCCTCTTGGGCCAACACCGCCGTCGAGTCCATCTCTGGAATTGGGAAATGTTAACACATAAACCATGGTCCCTTAACTAGTTGGAAGCTTTTAAATTTTCAAATCATTTACTAGTTAGCTAAATCTGTAGACATAAAGATCTTCAAATTAGAATAAAATTAGAATAAAATCAGAATAAAGTAAAACTTTTAAAGTTACAGGATGATCAGAAATAACTCGCACTTTTTATTCTAGGCTCATATTTCTGTTATTTGTAGACGAAAACGATTAGCTTCTTTTTTGAATGAAAATACATATTATTTTCTGTATATGTTCAAGATTTCATGACCATAGAATCGATAGGTAATTTTTTAAGTACGCTCAAAAATGGCTGGCTTTTTTTTGGACTGGCCATTTTGGAACGTTCATAAAAAATTTTCTATCAATGCTTTGCTCATGAAATCTTTAACATATATAGAAAATGATGTGTATTTTCGTTTAAAAAAGAAACTGATCTTTTTCGTCTACAAATAACGGAAAGATGAGCCTGGACCGGAGTTTTAGGACGATTTTGGGTCACCCTGTATTACCAACTCTAACTGTTTCCCTAAAGTCGTAAATGTGCAGCAATGTTTGTATATGCAGCAATGCTTGTATATTCAGCTTCTTTCAAAACCAAAACTTAACACCAAACTGGCATAACTTCGAAAAATATGGATCCCAACCGCTCACCTTCCATCCTCTCCCTCTCTCGGAATGTCCACATATCCACCGCCTTGACTCGGCGATCCGGGAGTCTGACTTGCCGCATCTCCACCCTCACCGCCTCTTTGTCCATCCGATCCACCACCGGATCTTGCCGGATCGTAGACCGATCCCGGTCTCGATCCACCGCCACCATGAATGTTGATGTTGGTGCCGAATCTTTTTCCACCGTTCTTCAAACGATCCCTCAACTCTTGTACCTCTTTCTCGAGCTGGGCGGCTTTGTCTAAAGTTTATTTACACAGATTAAACCAAGAATAACAAACGATTGGCTTTATCTTTCATAAACAAATTCCGATTACCTTTAATATCTAGAAGATCTTGCTTGTTGTTTGCCAACTCTTTAGCCAAGGCATTAGCTCGTTGGGTTTCTTGATTGGCCCCGGCCAGCGCTTTGTCCCTCTCAGCTTCGAGAGCCTGAAATTTTTTCATAAATCTTTTTTTTCTAGCTTTCTCACTTTGATCTCATTCTGTAGCTTTTCAACTTCTTGTTGCAATTTTCGAATTCTCTCCTTCGACACGTCATTCTCCGCATCAGCTTTGTGCTTTTGACTGAAAATTCACTGCATTTTAAAATCTGATTTGTTCTTACTTCAGCACATCTTGTTTCTCAGTCTGAAGCCTTAGATTCAAATCGTTCAACTTTTGAATTTCCGTATTCCTCGAGTGAATCTCGTTCTCCAGCTGGGCGATCTTCGCCTGATTGTTCTTCACCGTTGTGTCCAGCTCATCGTTGTGTCTACGGAGCAAAATGATCTGTCGATCTTGCTCGTCGAGCGCTTGTTTCAGCTTCTCAACCTCGTCATTTGATCCTAGATTTGAAACCGTTGAAGGAATTAAAATGAAGACAAAATGAAGACGATGAAGACACAAGTCAAATGCGCTAATCAAATGCCAGTTAACATCATAATAACTGGTCCAGATCAAGTCACTTAAACAACTTTGAGACTAAAATTTAGACTTAAACCAAATCTAAAGTGTAATTAGCTTGTACAGAATGGCCCATAACACGTGAAGCCTTATGTGAAGACAGATTAACTCGAAAATGTGTTAGATTACTTAAAGTTTGTTCTAATTTCATTTCTATAACATTTTTACACTATTTTTCCAATTTTTAGCCCGATCGGTTGGCTATAAGAAAAATTCGGGCAATTAAAAGCTTTGTAAATAAACACGATGCATATTGTCTGATGAAATCGTGCTTAAAATGCTTCACATCTCAAAGCTCTTCCTCAAACAATGCTTTTTGCTTTTTCTATGTTAAGATTATAAAGAAATTTTTGTTTAAACTATCATAGAATCAAATTTTCATTGCTTTAATTGTCGTCACGTTGGAGACAAGATGAAATAAGCATTTTTTGGGTGTTTTAGACAATTCCTAACAAACTTAAACTAACATTAGACCAAAAGCTTAAAGAAAAAAGTAATAATTTCAATTTTATAACCTTTTTAAAGCACTAATAACTAATTAAAATGACTGAAAAGTTCAATGCTTTCATTTTAAACACGAGTCTTTATAGACAAAAGCATTTCCATGCCAAACGCTTTCATTTACGGAGCTTCTAATGGCCTTAATTTTTCTTATAGCCGACCGATTGGGCTAAAAATTCGAATATAAGTGTAAAAATGTTATAATAATGAAATTAGAACAAAGTTTAAGTAATCTGACACATTTTCGAGTGAATCTACCTTCATATAAAGTGTAACACATAATATGGACCACCCTGTAATTTTCCATGTAACACCAACTCTCGCCATTCTTGAGCGCCTCATTGCGCGCCTTTCGCTCATCTTCGATGCGCTGTTTGATCTCAAAAAGACTTCTTGCGAGCTCGTCTTTTTGCTTCCTGAAATTAAAACTTAATGCAATGATTATTTCTCAAAAATTTCTTTACTAACTATTTCCATAAGTGTACTTTGTGCTCAAAAGTGTTAGAACACTTGGACCAAATTCTTTTTAAAAACTGTTGAATGAATGAAATTAAATGAAAAAGTGTTTGCCTGCGCCAAAAGCGGCGGTGTCATAGCATTTTTGAGCTCAAAATACTCTAACGAGAAATAACTATCAACTTTTTTGATAGTTGATATGAAATTTCTTGATAGATCAAGAAACAAGAAAAAAAGAAAAAACTCACTGGAAGTCATCCCTTTGCTGCTTGATCTCTTTCAATTGTTGTTCGAATAGATGCGACTTTTTGATTGCATTTTCCAATTCCGAATTTGCTCTCTCGTTTTCACTCGATAACATATCGCATTTCGTGCGGCAATCCTCCAAATCTTTTTGCGTGTTCGACTTGAGATTGTCGAGGAAACGGATTTGCGCGTCGCGCTCCTCCAAGCGGCGTTGCATAGCATTGGATTCGCTCTCGAGATCGCGATATCTAAATTTAAAATATAAAATATATCTAAATTTTCAAGATAAATCAAGAATTCAAAGCCTTTCATTAATTAGAATAAAATTTTATGTAAAAAATAAAATTAGAAAAATATCTCGAATCCAATCAAACAGAGCCGGTAATTTTCTTTTACGAGTCGTTTTTTCTTTTTCTTTTACGACTCGTTGTCCTTTATGAGTTTTTTCAAAAGTTACCAAAAACATGTCACAAAAACAGCTCTTTCATTAGTTTTGACTCCAAAAATCTAAAATTCCCTTTTAACTTACTTGTCTTTAAGCGGGACAAGCTCTTGCTTCAACTTGTTGTTGTCCCGTTGCAAGTTCTCGATTCGACGATTCAGCTCGCTGATTCTAAAGGGGATTTTTGAGAATAATAATGAAAAACTTTGATTTTAACACATTCAAAACAAGATCTTTTGCTTTCTACAAGATTTTTACGAGGTTATTTCCCTTCCGAGCTGGAAGGACGTTCACAGTTTTATTATAAAGATGCGGACAGAACTTTTCAGCTTACATTCAAAAGATCATAACCTTCTTCAAAGACAATATTTCTTTAATCTCTTTTCAGATAAATGATTCTCAAACATTTCTCTTCATTTTGAGCCCTAATTTAAGTAAATCGGCTGTCTGTGAACTTTTTTAGACGAGCTAGAAGGGAAATAACTTAGAAAAATCAAAAAACCTTCTCGTGAATGTAAAGCTTTAAATCTTTAAGCTAGCTTTGCACTTTAAAAAGCTTTTTTCTCATAAAATCTTGAGAAATCAGTAAAGTTGACTGAAAAAAACTTTAGTATCGATTTATGACCAACCTATTCTTGTAATCCTCTTCCAAATGATTCATTTGTTCTTCTCCTTCGTCTCTCAATCTTTTCGCGTCTTCCGATGTCGCTTTTTGATATTGTTCTTGTAGTCGAGCCAACTCATCCTCCAGGAATTTCCTCGCTTTTTCGGCTGCCACCTTCTCCGACTCGGAATTTCTCAGCTTATCCTCCAATCTCCTCAAATTTCTCTCGTTCTCATCAACCAATTTCTGTTGATTTGCGATTTCTCTTTTTGCATCAGCCAATTGTTTGTCCAATCTTCTCCTTGCTTCTTCAGCTGTTTCAAACTTTGCGATAAACTCTTTAGCCTGATTTTCAGCAATCTTCAGCTTTCTCTCGAGTTGTTGGAGTTCATTGTCTTTATTTCTAAAAGCATTCCTTGTCGCTCGAAGCACTTCAGTTGGTGAGATTGGGGTTTTGCCGGGTGACATCGATCGAGATCTCTTTATCTGAACCGTTCCATCTCTCACATTTTCCTGATCCAACGCCATTTCGTGCAACTTTTTCAGTGCCGACTGGCTGTCGTTGAGCTTTTCCTTTGCTCGTCGCAATTCCGCCTCCAATTCTGCGATTTTTCTCTGAGATTCGTCACCCTTTGACTCAAGTTCGATATTCCTTTCAATAGACTCCTCATATTTTTGCATCAACTCTTTGTGCAGCTCAGCATCGCCTTCAGAGCTTCCCGTATAACCCCTTTGCCCTCGCAATTCATCCAAATATGCTTTCAAATCTCCATCACCGCCGCCTCTCATTCTCTTGACTGCTTCAATGACTGTCAGCTCGTGATTGAACGTCGATCCACCGCCTGTAGCAACTCCATCGATCCCACGAATCACTCGATTGAACTCAGCACGTTGATTGTCGAGATCCCGTTGTGTTTGGTCTTTTAAATCGTTGAATTGCTTTCGAACTCGTTGCAACTCTGTCCACAAGTCTAGCATTTTCTGCTGCTCATCAGACAGATATTGAGAAAGATTTCTTTCTTTTGCATTCCATCCACGTTCCTTGTTTTGGTGATCTTGAGATATTGCTTGTGCTTGTCGACGGAGGCTCTCGATCTCGTTTGCCAGCTGGTTGTTGACTGCCGCTGCGTTGTCGAGTTGGAGACGCAACTCGTCGGATCTGAAAATGGGATTATCATTTTCGTTGGGAATTTTCGTTCTAGACCCGATTCAGCAACAGAGCAAGTCTTTAACTTTTGAGATCGGTTTTCGATGTTTCGTTGAACTATCATTTCCCTAATCTCCTCATTTCTCACCTCCTTCTCTCCTCATCCAGTTTCGCGTCAAAATTCGCATTCGTATCCCCACCAATCGGGTACAAACCCCCTCCACCAGCTCCACCCTCACCCCAAATGTTGAGGTTAATGTTCTGTCGACGAGCCGGACTCCACAACTCGACACGGCTAAATTTCAAATGATTAAGTTATTGACTTTTTGACTTTTTCTTTACCTTCTTCCTCCATACGGATCTCCAATCCCTCCACCAGTCGCTCCAGTCGAGAATCCACCGCCACTTGCTCCAGTGTCCACGAAAATTGATGGATCCAATCCCATTCCTCCGTCATCCAAATAACGCTTCCGAGCTCCGACCATTTTTCCCTCGAGTTCGGCGATGTGTTTGCGGTACTCGGAGACCTGAAACTTGCTGGTTACGAGGTTACGAGAAATTTGGTAGATTTAGACCCAGGTTAGGCCAAGCTAGGTAAAGTGAGTGCCAGTTCAGAAACCAGGAGCTGGTTTGTCCTCTGAGCTAGGACCTTGTGGCTACCAGAAGCGGTGAAAACCCTCCTTTGCAGCCTTAGATATATTCCTGTACTTGGAGTGCTTTGGTTTTTAAATCCATACCAAATCAGGTGAGAACTAAAGTATCACAGAACTTTTGTAACTTTCTAATTCTTATAAAGCTTTTCAATGATTAACGCAATCAATGATTAACGTTTACAAACCTTTTGCTGCAAAGAGTGCATCATATCCGAATACTCTTTCTGCTGTTCGACATTGCTATCGATTCTTTTCTTGAATTTATTCAAATCATCTTGTGTTCGATCTAAACGAGCCGCCGTCGATCCCCTTCCCGGGTCGAAATCCAACAAATCGTCGTCGAACGATGACGTGTTGTGGTAATTTGTTTCACCATTTGTATCCCTAAAATGTTTTTTATTGAAACACTAAACAAGGGGAAATCTTGAGGGGAGAAATCTTGTCTGTGCAAGTGTGATTACCCAAGGAAATCGGAGAATTTGCCGATTTCGGAATCCCTAGAATTTGAGGTTTAGGAAAAGATTTCTTAACAAAGCCGAATCCTGACTGCGAATATTGAGTGTTAACAAAACCGAATTCTGAGAATCTCTGACAACTCCGACAATCCTGACAACTCTGACAATTCTGACAATTCTGACATTCTGACACGATTCTGACAATCTCCAAATAAAAGTTCTATGCATTTTTATTGAATACACTAGATTTTAAGTTAAACTCTTTATGATTCATACCTATGAAATCTTGAAATTTGAAGTTTAAAGTCTAAACCCACCAATAGAATTCTCCATAATGAGAGCGAGAGCCTGGGCTGTCGGGTTCACGGGATTGACGCTCTCCATCACCTCAAATTATTTGTTCTTGCAGATTAAAGAAATTAAAATGGCCACCAAGTTCGCCTCTTTATTGAACCCTCTTGATTACTTGGTTTTGGGAATTCTTTAGCAAAAGCTTCAAAAGTATTGGTACACCACAATTGATGCTCTCAAAAAAGCTTTGGTGAAAGCTTGGGATTTGTTCGAGCCGATTGGTCGAATTGTTCGAGCCGATTGTTTGAATTATTCGAGCCGATTGTTCGAATTGTTCGAGCCGATTGTTTGAATTATTCGAGCCGATTGGTCGAATTGTTCGAGCCGATTGGACGAATTGTTCGACTCGATTGTTCGAATTGTTCGACCATTCTTGCAAACCTTCGTAAACGGGTTAAGAAATGTATTGAGGGGGAAACTTTCAACAAATTCTTCTCATTTTTATTTTCCCTTTTTGTTATTCAATGCTTCAATGCTAAATTCTAAAAAGTTTACTAGAAATTTGAGTTTGAAAGTTTGAAATCTGAGTTACAGTTATCGACATCGATAGTCCTTAAAAAGAAGTCCGTTTAGTCCGTTTATTATGGGGAAACCCTGTAAATTCGATAATCCGGTAAATCCACACCTCCTCCCGAATTTCTCGGTATCTCGATTGTTCCCGCTCGATCACCGGTGTCGCCTGGCGGGATGTAAATCTCTCCACCAATCCCGGTGCTTTGGGTGTCCTCGTGATCACCCATCACTCCGGAAATACCTAAAAAATGTACTTTTAATTTGTACTTTTAAGAATTCACAAAGATTTTTGCTAAGAAAACAATGAAAGACTTGAAGATTCAGCGAAATGAAAAGACTAAATGACGAAGATCATAAAGCTTTAAGATTTAAAAGATAAAGAGTTTCAAATCGTTCAAATAAATCGTTTTTCATTGGTTTATAGGTTTTCAACAACAGAGAATCTCTCGAAAGTACCTGCAATAAGCTCGGCCCGTTCCCTTTCTTCAGCTTCTTTTCTAAATCTCCTTCTTTCTCTCTTTTCTTGTCTTTTCTTTTGTCTTTCTAGAGCTGATGCTGTTTCTGAAGAGGTTAACGGACGAACGGATACTCTTGACGAAACGTGTGTCCACTTTCCTGGCTTTATCTGCTCACTTCGAACACACGGTGATGAGCACCTTGATGTGTCTGAACTTTCAGCGCTCGAGTGAGTCTTGTTGAGTAAAGATTGGGGAGAAAGGCAACGATTTGCTTGGATTGATTGTGAGGGTGGATCTTTGAGTTGACTTTCTTCCTCAGCTTCCTCTTGTACGATCAATTGCCGGGCAGACGCCTGAGTGCTATTGACGCCGCAGCTGAAGAACATCCAGTGCGCTCACAGCGCTCGTCATGCTAAATGAGAAAATGTTGATCTTTGATTTGCGATTCTTGGTTAACATTTGAGATACAGAAAGATGCATTAATCAGTTACAGTACTGGACAATGCAATACCATATTTGAAAAACGATCGTCACTTTCGCGCCTCTGTAACTCCCTTGTCTTTGAGTTTAAACTATTAGTGTTATACATTTTCTGAAAGCTCTTTTCAAGGGCTACACAATGGTAATATTAATATTTAGAAATACGGTAAAGACAAGGGAGTTACAGACGCGCGAAAGTGACGATCGTTTTTCAAATATGATATTTCATTGTCCAGTAGTGTACCTAAATTCTTTTACACTTTAACTTTTCAAAAGCATAAGTAGCTTGTTAGTACAGATTTTCAGACAGCTATCTAAGTATCTAAAAGTTTTGAATCTTAAGACATGATTTAAAAGGTTTTGAAGTCTAGCTCATCTCTGATTCATCCACTAGAACAGCATTTCTAATCCTCAATCAAAAACCAACCCAAACAAAATCAATTGCAAACTTTCTCTAGAAATAAACTAGCTGAATAGGCTTGACAAATTTGGTAGTCAGAATTTCAAGGGATTTGGGTTAGTTATGAAGGTTGTCCAAAGTGACACAATGTGCGTCCCTTTCTCTTCTCTTTCTTCATTGCTCTGTCGACCACACATAATTGCAGCCATTCCTGTCTTTTCCTCTCTTTAACCTCTAAAAGGCGTCAGAAATTTTGCGCGGGTGTAAGGAGTTAAGAGATTGAAAGGAGGAGATCGATGTCTTTCTGAAAGCCTCTAGGGATTCTTGGCCCTGATTAGCTGGGATTCATTGGAAAAATGGTTGGGCTAATGAAGAGATCTGATTTCTAAGAAGCAAGATTTACTAGATTTTATTCCTGGATTGCAAGCCAACGTACTTGTGAATACAATGAATGAATACATGCAAGCCAACGTACAATATGGCTTTTAAGATCCATCTTTTTCAAATAGATACTTGCAATTGATTAGATAAAAGTTAGGTTCGGATTTCAATAGTGATTTGAGGCCAGGAAGATTCAAGCAACTTTAACTCAAGCAACTTTAACTCAAGCAACTTTAACTCAAGCAACTTTAACTCAAGCAACTTTAACTCAAGCAACTTTAACTCAAGCAACTTTAACTCAAGCAACTTTAACTCAAGCAACTTTAACTCAAGCAACTTTAACTCAAGCAACTTTAACTCAAGCAACTTTAACTCAAGCAACTTTAACTCAAGCAACTTTAACTCAAGCAACTTTAACTCAAGCAACTTTAACTCAAGCAACTTTAACTCAAGCAACTTTAACTCAAGCAACTTTAACTCAAGCAACTTTAACTCAAGCAAACTCAAGCTTCAAGTTTTCAAGCGACTCAAGCAAATTTTGCGCGGGTGTAAAGAGTTAAGAGATTGAAAGGAGGAGATCGATGTCTTTCTGAAAGCCTCTAGGGACTGGCCCTGATTAGCTGGAATTCATTTTGGGTGCTTAGGCAAGATTTGGTTGGGCTAATGAAGCGATATCTCTAACAAGCTCCAAGATTTCACAGATTCCAAAGGTTTGATGTGAAATCATCCAATTTAAAAATCATCCAATCATCCAATTTGACTTTGAATTCAAAAATGTTCTTTCTTTACAAACACTAGTGGAGAAAATCAGCCGCCAGAAGTTTGAAATGTTGAGCGAAGCAACTTTTGAAACTTTCCGAGTAACTTTTTCAAATCGAAATGAGTTGGCTTGTGAAAACTTGTAAATACAGCCAGAGCTTTAGCTTTCAAAAGAGTGCAGATTAATGTTTATGTTCTTAAACAAGCTCAGTTAGTTTAGAAAAATTCAGATTTATTTTAGAGTCAGATTTAAAATCTCTAGAAAAGCAGGATTTGGTTTTCAAATCGAAATTTAAAGTCCAATCGAAGAAAAATGTACTTTCGCGTAAAGGAACACATTTTGCAATGCGTTTACACTTTGTTTTTTTTTGTACTAATGTGACCGAGAATGGGTAAAGAAACGAAAAAAATAAAAAAGAATAAAGGAATGGGTAGGAAATGTGTTCAGAAATTTATGAGCTTTCCGGGAAAGTCGAAAAGAGAAGGAACGCCGAAAGAGAAGAAAGAGAAAGGGAATTGTATAGATTCAAAAGTCACACATCTTTCCCGGTTAATTACTAATCCGAATCGAAAAAGAAAGCTGTTGTTGGTGGATTAAATTGTACTGTTTTCTAAGAATAGATCTGGGAAATGGGGGATTTTGAATGGCTTTTGAATGGCTTTTGAATGGCTTTTGAATTGTGAGTTGAATTGCAATTTGAATTGTGATTTGAATTGCAATTTGATATTTGAATAGAATAGAGAATAGAATTTGAATAGAGTTTTCAGACATGCTGAATTAGGCTCGTACTTTGTGCTTGGCAAGATGCAAACTTTTTGGCATACTTATTTGATTGATTGATTCAAGATCTTCAGTTGATTTAGTTGATTTAGTTGCTTTAGTTGATTCAGTTGATTTAGTTGATTCAGTTAATTCAGTTGATTTAGTTGATTTAGTTGTTTTATTTGATCCAAGATTCAAAACTTTGGGGTTGCTGAAAACGCTTAGTTTGTGACAAACTAAAGACTCAAATCCAATAAAAATCCTTGTCCAATAAAAGGAAGATCAAGTATACCAGAAGCTCATTTATTTGAGCACAAAGTACAGGCCAATGCCCAGATATGTTGTGCCAGAAAGCGTGCGTTTGTGTGCACAAAATACAACCCAAAATATATCCAGTATCGTCTACCAGAAAGCCTGCATTTATGTGAGCGCAAAGCACTAGTAAAACCTTGTTTTCTACCTCGTAAACTCACGTCTTCTAAAGCATTAAACTTTACGCTTTTTTGATTCTTTTAATTACCCAACAAGTAAAATTCAATTCAAGTAAATTTCAATGCCAATTTTCAATGCCAATTTTCAAGAAAATTCTCTAAAAAGTCGATAAAGGCTAGTAGAGTAGAAAGTTTGAAAAAATGAGTGAAAAAAGAAGCGAGTAACCGACAAACAATTATGCAACACACAGCTCAGAAGACTGAAAAGACGGGGAAAAAGAAGAGAGAAAGGGGAAATTGAAGAATCTAAAAAGAGAGTGAGTGTTTGTAGTCTTTTCTGCCAAAAAAAAAAAAAAATGTTGCAACTCGCTCACTTTCTGGTTGTGAATGGGGCACAGGAAAAAAAAACTGGACAAGCCTTTTTCAGGCACTCTTTTTCACCTCAGATTTCAGGGTCACCTCTACGCATAATGCTACTTATATGTGGGTATTTTTGAAAGAGAATTACTGACTACTTCTTTAGAAGGTTTACTTTGGATATCTTGTAAACGTTTGGATATCTTGTAAACGTTTGGATATCTTGTAAACGCATGGTTTCTGGTGCACTTAAACCTTTCTTCTTGTGACCTTCGTCTTCCTGTAGAAGATTTGTTATACAAGATTTGTTTGAAAAGACTGCGGTGGCTAATTTGCGCCAAATTTTGCGTTTAACTTGCCATAACTTCTTTCTAAATGGATCAATCTTTATGATTTTGATGTCATTTTATAGATCTCAACAAGTGCAACAAAATGGTACCAAGAATCATCAAGATTTGCCGATTTATAAAGAAATTTATGGCGAGTTGCACCAGATTTGTTACGTTTACACGATTTGAGCACAAAGTAGGCTCCAAGTCGAATTGTTTATTGGTGTACTTTGTGCTTATTGTTAAATTTTGGAAACTATCTCTTTCTGGTACATCGAAATCTGCAGAATTAGGACAGTACAGTCGGAAATACGTGGAATTGAGTACACTCTAAAGAGTGCGTTTCTGTTGCGTTTGCGTTTTCGATCTGACAATGTTTGTGAAGCCGTTTAGGCTCTGAATTAGAGCTTTGCAGTATCCCTATCCTACTCAATCCTCTATAACATCACCTATTTAGCGCACTGCTTCACCAATGAAAATCTAGGTGCGCCAGAAAGGGTACGTTTCCCTTTTTGAGTAGAAAATACGACCAAAGAACAGTCTGTTTTAGTGTCAGTAATTCAAGTAACGTCATCAATCCTCACCTCCTAGCTAATAATGCAAATTTTTCCCCCATTTACAATACCTATTCAATTCCATTTCAAAATAATGATCCTCTTTCCTTTTAACGAGTCACACACCAACAAAAATGTACCCTATTATGGGGAAATGTGAGAGGAAAAGAAAGAAGAAAAGAAAGAAGAAAAGAAAGAAGAAAAGAAAGAAGAAAAGAAAGAAAAAAAGGTGGAAACAATTTCCATGGATACGCCTACTCTTTTCACTCTTTTAGCACCAGCCCACTTTTGGTGTATAAAGGGAAATGTGGAAAAGAGTACTGAAGTAGCCTCTTCAATACACTCAAAGTGATGGGGAGAAGTTTGTAGTCGGAAAGGAGGGAAGGACAAAAATAACTGTACAATCAAGCGATGCCTAGACATAAAGCCAAATCGAGAATGAACTCAATAAGAATGGCATTGGGTTGGGGAAATGGTGCCGAAAATCAAAGAAGTCGCGAAGACTTCTAGCAAACTTCTAGCAGACTTCTAGCAAACTTCTAGCAGACTTCTAGTAGACTTCTAGCAGACTTCTAGGCTTTGTAAGGCTTCGGATACTGATATTGGGAGGAATTAAATGAAAAATTCTAGCTAAACGAAATCCATCGGTTTTTGTTGACAGCCTTGGCAAACTCGTTGACTTTTTTGTGTGAAGGGCAAGCTTTTCAAAGTCGTCTTACTTTAAAGTCGTGTTACTTTAAAGTCGTGTTACTTTAAAGTCGTGTTACTTTAAAGTCATTTTGCTTTTATCTATCGTCAAATTCAAATCAATAATCTCTTTCTCTTTCGTGACAAAATAGCTTTAAAGGAGTTTAATTTGCAATTTGTTTAATTACGAATTTGCAAAGAAAACTCTGAAAGTTGAAAAACTTGAAATCTTAAAAATTGACTGA